CCACCAAGGGCGCCCGGGCGGCCAGAGGGATGTCTGACTACCAGCTTAGGCCTGATCCCCCGAGGAGCCTAAGCCAGCAGGTGGACATCCCCCGAGGAGTCCCAGACTATGAGAGGGCACAAGCAGGGCTGAGGGACTCCCCTGAGTGCACATATTTTTGTGCACCGGGCCACTAGTAAGTATATAAGTTTTGTGGTTTATCTCTTCTTATGCCCTCAACCTCACATCAAGGTATGTCAGTCTGTTCCATGCCTCCATGCTTCATGTCTTATTTTGTTGGACAATTGATTTTGTTCACTAGATTCCACAAATAAGTGAGGTCATGTGATAGTTGTCTTTCTCGGTGTGGCTTATTTCACCTAACATAATATTTTCCAAGTCCATCCATGCTGTCCCAAAGGGTAAGAGAGCCCTCTTTTTTACAGCTGCAAAGTATTCCATAGGGTAAATGTTCCATAGCTTTTTTATACATTCATCTACTGATGGGTACTTGGGCCGTTTCCAAATATTAGCTATCGTAAATAATGCTGCTATGAACATAGGGGTGCATATATTCCCAGGAAATTGGTTTCCCCTTTGTTCTCTTTTCAATAATTGCACCCTCTCTGTTTCTCTTCTGCAATAACATCACATTCATAGCAGGTTCCATCATTATGCTCCTTTCTTTTAGTGTAGCTGACTGCTCCTGAAGACTAGTTATTGAAGATAGGGAAGAGTTATTGAAGATAGCAAGAAAATATGTTTTTATTGATTTTAGAGGGGAAGGGAGAGGGAGAAGGAGAGAGAGAGAAACATCAATGATGAGAGAAAATCATTGATTGGCTTCCTCTTACACGTCCCCTACTGGGGATGGAGCCCACAACTAGGGCATATGCCCTAACGGAATAGAACAGTGACCTCCTGGTTCATAGGTCAAAACTCAACCACTGAGGCACACCAGCCGGGCCCCTTCACTGCAGAAATATTAATGTTGGATTACAGAGTGCTATACCATATTCTACTTGGGTGTTTGGAATACACAGTACATGCACAATTGTTACCTTTTTAGAACCTGAAAATATTTGAACTCCAAAACATTTGGCTCCAAGGGTTAGTGGATCTGTAGTACTCATTTCATAGGGTAACTGTAAGGATTAAATGCCACATATTAATAACTGAATAAATGTTGGTGAGTAGTGTTACTATACTGTGTCCTTTCTAAAGGCCCACTTTGTAGAAAGCTGTGAATTGAGGAAGTGCCAAAAATAATCACAGGTAGACTAATTTATGTAGGTGAATGTCAGAGCTCCTGATTTGAGCCTAGATTGTATGCACTGGGTCTTGGTCATGCCTGGAGGACTGGTGATGGTCAGGGGAATACTTGACAGGGTTCTGGAAACTGAGAAGCCCAACACCTTCTTGGAAAAACAATGCAGAGAGGGGAAAGGGGGCATTAAGGGTTACAAGTTTAAGGGAAGACCAGGGGCTTGAGTGAAAGGAGCGATTTGGAATACAGCAGAGTATTTCTGCCTCCATACTGCAATTCCCATGGACTCTGCCTGCAGAAGGGGACTGCAAGGCAAGAGCAACTGGTCCTGGCAACGCAGCATCCAGCTGGGAACATCTGTGCTACAGGATTCAGCCCTCCAGTGGCTTGGGCTCTGGGAGGGCAGATGGTCCTGCAGAGAACACTGGGGTAGGACCGTAGGCCCACACCATCACAGCAGCACTTCTAGTGGGCGTGGGTGTCCTTGCTACTTCTGGTCACCTACAGTGACTGGAGGGAGGCCAAGGCATCTGAGGAAGAATAGTGAAGAGGAGGAGCCAGGAAAATACTGTTTAGTGAACAATATTCTGACTCCCTTTTTACTCCTAGCTGTTTGTAACCTGGGAAATTTAGGCTTCAGATAGAGAATAGAATAAACGAAATAAATGACAAGAAATGGTTGTAAAAAGAAAAGATCATGTTTGAGTTGTAATTAAGTTGCTCTCAAATCTGCCCTTTTCTGAACCTGGGGTGTCCAGCAAATCATGCCACAGCTCTCAGGTACAGCGACACAGTGGGGTCTCTACTTTCCCAGGCAGCTAGTGGGAGTGATGGCCAATAGACAAAGACTCTCAAAATCATAAGGCAAGTGCTAGGAAGGGAACTTTTCCAGTCCATTTGTATAACTCCCAAATAAAGCAGATGACATTTTCAAATGTGCTTTTCTTGGCCTAATGTTCTTTTTTTTTTTTTTAGCATAATTAAGGGCAGATCAACTCATTGCAGCATAGTTAACGTTAATTTGGGATTATGTTAGCACTCTAAGTGCTTAATGATGAATGACTCATATGTCAGGCTGTGACAAAAGGCTTCACTCTTCAAGCAAGAGATGCCTAGTTCTAGCACATTATTAATTTCTGAAGCTTAAATCCAGGATAAATGGATTTAGGAGGTTAATTCCTCTTCTATTATAATTCCTTGTAATAAATTTGGTCTCTTCTCTCCCTTCTTCCACTTCCACATATTGTCTGAAATAGGAGAGAGAGAGAGAGGAAGAGAGAGAGAGAGAGAGAGAGAGGGGAGAAAAACAGTATTTTTGTAATGAGAAGTTTCTTCAAGAAGACTCATGTTTAGTCAAGAAGACTAATCCCAAGATTTTTTTTTATACTATAATATAATTCAGGGAAGAACCAGCACTTTCTGCAAAGGGGTTTATTGAGGTGATTCAATCAATGAAGTATTCCTGAGGAGTCAGGCAGGCAAGACTTATGGGAAGGCTGAGGGGGTTGATGGCATGCAGGAGCAAGGACCTAACTCTGGGAGGGTATGGGAAACCATCCAGGCCTGGCCTGACTGCACAGAAGGACTACATTAAAAATAAGGTGAGGCTGGAGTATGGATGGGCCTGAGAGCCTCGCTGGTTTCCAGAGGCAAGAGAAGCTCCAGGCTGGAGCTTGCAGATAGGCATCTGCCTAGGTGCTCCAGAGGACAATGATGGTGGTGATGGAGGTGGCCATGAAGAGCAGGTAGAGGCGGAACAGCAGGGTGTCCATCATGTAGCTAAACTGCACCCACAGGCTGACCAAGTGCTGCTTCTGAGCCTCATCTTCCTGTTGGCCCCTTGTTGACTCAGGGCACCCATTTAGCTCTGCCTCTTGGGGACCTGGCACCTTCCACACCAACTCCATGGGCTCCTTCAGACCTAAGGAGAGACAGACACCTAGACATGGGCTGCAAAGGTCATTTGAGGATGGAGAGGAACAGGGAAGGAGGCAGGAGCAGAGAAGTGGAGGTGTTACAAGAGGAAGTGAGGACAGTGATGACTTTGTTACCAGGCAGTTGGTTGGGGGTGAGACGCAGGCCCTTGTTTCCCTTCTGGGGTGCAGTGAGACAGCGTTCCCTTGGGCTGGTGCAGTGCAGAAGCAGAGAATAGAGCCACCGGGGCATAGGTGGGGGCTGGGTGGTGACCAGGTGCAGCAGGTAGGTGATGAAGACGGTCTCCAGCAGGCTGAGCACCATCAGGGAGAGACACAGGGCAAAGTAGACACCTGGAGGGAAGACAAGCCTATTTGAGAGCCAGTGGCAAGTCCCAGGACTTCTTGTTTCCTATTTTCTTAAAGTACCCTTTTTAAAGATTCCTTTTCACTCTGAACTGGTTCCACTGGTCTCTCTCCCCACCGCATCCCCCCAACATTGCTTTTACTCTCCTGAAAGAGGGAGGGGCCATACTGATGAGGGGGGTGCCAGTGTCCGGGAGTAAGTCATTCATCATGAGCAGGAAGACATTGTAGCCCAGCAGAAGGGTCATCTTGAATGGGGCACGTGTCTCGCTTTCTGCAGGCAGGAAGAAGCTGAGGGCATCAATGACCATCAGAAAACCACTGGGCACCAGAAGGTTTATGACATAGAGGAAGGGCCTGCGCCTGATGGCCACCTGGTAAGGAGAGAGGGGGCAAGTGAAGAGCAGGCTAGGAGGCTGGCAAGCAAGTTAAGAGCAAGAGTTGAAATTTGGCCTGGTCAATGTGGCTCAGTGGTTGAGCGTGGACCCATGAATCAGGAGGCCACAGTTCAATTCCCAGTCAGAGCACATGCCCGGGTTGCAGGCTCGATCCCCCAATACAGGAGACAGCTGATCAATGATTCTCTCATCACTGAGGTTTCTATCTCTCTCTTCCTCTCCCTTCCTCTCTCTCTGAAAATGAATAAAAACATGTTTTGTTTTCTTTTATTTGCTAATAGAATTTAAGACCAATGGGTGGGAAAGCAAGACAGTGGCAGATATTTTGGGGTCACTAGGATTTGGAATCAAAATATCACCAAGACAGTGTTTCATAACTTTTCCACTCTCTCTTTTTATTTTTTAAAATTTTTTATTGAATTTATTAGAGTGACATTGGTTAATAAGATTATATAGATTTCCTGTGTACAATTCTACAGTACATCATCTGTGTATTGTATTGGTTGTTTGTCACCTCAAGTCAACTCTCCTTTCATCATCATTGACTCCCACCCCCGCTTTACTCTCTTTCCCCTCCCCTCTCCACTTTCCCTCTAGTAATCACTAAACTATTACCTGTGTCTTCCACCATCTCTTTAAAAAGGTGAACATAAAAATTCCAGCCCTTGCCCTGGCCGGTTTTTGCTCAGTGGATAGAGCGTTGGCCTGCGGACTGAAAGGTCCCAGGTTCAATTCCGGTCAAGGGCATGTACCTTAGTTGCGGGCACATACCCAGTGGGGAGTGTGCAGGAGGCAGCTGATCGATGTTTCTCTCTCATCGATGTTTCTGACTCTCTATCCCTCTCCCTTCCTCTCTGTAAAAAAATCAACAAAATACATTTTTTAAAAAATTACAGCCCTCCAAAAAGTTCTGATGTCCCTCGGGGTGGGACGCTCACTCTCACTGCAATCACTGCCTTAGGAGCTTTGTTTCTCCTTCAGGGAGGATTTATTCCATCAGTATTTACTGAGTGCTAGATACTATGTTAGGCACTGGAGAGTTATCAGTTAAAAAAAAAGTGATAAAAATCTCTGCCCTTATAGAATTTATTTTCTAGTGGGAGAGCTTATGCTCTAGAGAGGGACATAAGCTATGCATCTTAGGAGAAAATCACAACCGGGGCCCCTGAGCTCACATAGAAAGTGATTTGGTCGTACTGGCTGTCGTCCACGGCCATCTTCAACGTGGTCTGGCGGATATCCAGAAGTATCCACTCCCCCTTGTTCTGAATGAGGTTCTGTGATATGTTAGAAATCTCCTGCACTTCCTTCTCCAAGCCCAGGACCATGTTCTCCACTGCAAAGAGATCCAGACAACTCAGCCTCCCCAAATGCTTGCTCAGACTGTTGGGTTTCTTGCCACTTAGCTTCCACATCACTTTCGGTGAGATTCCCTCACTATACCCAGCTTTCGGTCCTCTCCTCTTCCAAAACCCTTTCTCTGCCTCTCAACAGACTACTGTAGATGAGCCCCACTCACCTGTGTACAAGAAAGAGGTGAAGCTGAGCGTGCAGTTTTGTTCATCAAAGGGGAAATAGAAGATGTCCAGGTTACAGATGCTGGTCACCTTCATTGGTTTATCATATCTGATGTGCCCTTCACTGTTGACATAAGCCATGAGCCCTGTAGGTGTTTGATCCACATCCATGCTGCACATGAGAAAGAGGAGGAGGTGGGTGCTGTGGGTTCCCCATTATTAGACTTGGCCTTCTTTCTCTCTCAGGTCCCCTCATTCCTGAGCTCCAGCCCACTTGTCTGGTTTCCCCGTTCTACTGATCTCCATGCTCTGGGGATTTTGTAAGCTCCTCAGTTCCGATTCTGCTCCTTTCTAAATTGAGTCTTTGGGTGGCCCCTATGGACTACGTTATGTCCTCTGTGGGGAGATGGTTTCCTTCTTGCCCTTTTCATCCCTGGTACTCACAACTCATTGATGAAGATATCTGGAAGCCACAGGTTCTCAGTTGCTATGCTGAGCTTGCTGATGCCCCCACATTCCTCAGGGTTCCACCTGATGAATGGATTGTACCAGATCTAAGGGAAACCAGGACATGGGCAAATGGGATGGGAACTAGTTTTAGTCTTGCTCTATCTCCTGCACTTTACATTCCTGTGTTCCCCTTCCCACCCCCTCTCTAGTGAAGCTGTCACAATGTCACTAACAAAGCCTGACTTACGTCCACTTCTTTCTCAGAGCTTTCAAGGAAGACCTTGAGCTTGGCTTTGGATTCCGTTGGGTGGAGCCATTTAAATCTTGGCTTCCATGACCTTGGTTTATTCTACCTTCTCCCTGTGCCCCATCTCTTCCCTCCTAAACTGGCAGAATAGCCAGGAAGCTTTGTGCTTTCATTGTTGGTCTCGCTCTGTTTGAACTTTCTAATTCATGGGTATTCTCGGCTTAATACATTGTAATCTGCAAAGTTGGACCAAGGAGTAGAAAAAGGAAGGTGCTATAAGTAAAGAGGAAGCTGAGAATATCATACCAGATTTAGCCACAGGAATGATGTCATCAGTTGAAGCTGTGCATCCTGGAAAGACAATTTTCATCCAGGATCATTAGATCTATGAAGTCAGGTCCAATGCCACCACTCACCTCCTACTCATTTCCAAGGCTGTTCTGTGTGGCAATTATGATTTTTCAATCATAAGCCACTGAGAAATGTAGGTTAAATAATCCAGGGCACATGGGAAACATAAGTAAAAAAAGCAGTATGAGGCCATTGGGATTGTTTCTTGTGGAGTATTCCAAAAAGGGACAGACTTTACCTGGAGTGATATTGTATGTCATGTCCCTCTACCCATACTAGAATGAGCTCTTAATTTTACAAAATACAATCAGGAGACCCACAACTTACCACTAGATTATTGCAGTGTTGGGTCTGGACTTACCACTTCCAGGATGGCAGACAGGGTGAAGGAGATGTTGACTTGAGTGGGAATGCTGTAGTTGATGACTGGACGAAAGGCCTTTCTGTCAAACACTGCTTGGAAGGCAGCAGGATCCACCCCATGCTGGTCAAACCCTGAGCAATTGATGGTAAAAATGTCGGCTCTTCCTATAGAGAGCAGAGACTCTGTGAGAGAAGTGCCAGGGCTGGGGCCTGGGAGTGCTTCTGCACAGTGAGAAAATAAGAGGCATGGGAGAAGCATATGAGCTCCTCCTTCCTGAGCAGGGAACATGGGCTGAGCTAGTAGGCAAATGGTGGAAGTTGATGAGGTGAGCTGAGTCAGGGCCCCATCCTTAATTCCATTGTTTCTGTCTCCATGCAAAACTTATCCAAAGGTGCATGCAAACTCAGCCCTGACCACTGCTCTTCAGTGTCCTGCTATGTTCTTAACAATATCACCACCGACCTTTCCACCTTCACGCAATTTCCTTCCATTGCTCATCTCTGTCCTTGAGCCATCTGGGGTGATGTCTGTGACAAATTTTGCAACCACAGTTCTCTTCCTCACTATATTAATAAGGCATAGATGATGATAAATTAATGAAAAGGGGAGTAATCAGATAGGTAGTGTGAGATCAGGCACGTTCAGGGTGGTATGGCCTTACACACTGTTGGCATCAGGTAGGTAGTATGAGATATGCAGGACCTTAAGGAAGGAACCCAATTTTTCAATTTAATGAATAGTTAAATGAGTTTCTACTATGTGCTGTGATTGTTCTCTTCTAAAACTCAGTAGTCATCACCACTGAGACTACCTTTGTATTTTTTGTTAATCCTCACCTGAGAATATTTTTTCCATTGATTTTTGGAGAGAAAGAAAGAGAGAGGAAGAGAGAGAGAGACATTTGAGAGAGACACATTGATTGGTTGCTTCCAGCACAGGGAGATTGAATCTGCAACCCAGGTATGTGCCCTTGATCGAGGATCGAACCCAAGACGTTTGGTGTGAGGACCGTCACTCTAACCACCGGCCAGGGCATCACTAAGACTATCTTTTTATTAAAAAATATATTTTTTATTGATTTCAGAGAGGAAGGAAGAGGAAGAAAGAGATTGAAACATCAATGATAAGAGAGAGTATCATTGATTGGCCGCCTCCGGCCCTCTCCACACTGAGGATTGAGCCTGCAATCCGGGCATGTGCCCTGACCGGGCATCAAATCATGACCTCCAGGTCCATAGGTCAATGCTCAACCACTGAGCCATACCAGCTGGGTCCCACGGTCATGATCTTAATTCAAATTTTTACCATCTTTCTCCTGAATCAAGGCAACAGCTTCCTAAGAATCGCACACCCGTCAGGGCCATCTATATTTATTTATCTCTGGTGTTGTAGTATTCCTCGTTGCTCATTTTCAATAATGAACAGAAAAAATACTTGCGACTGGGAAAAATTATACTGGAAAAGTTTCCCTCTTCATGATGTCTTATTCACATTCTTTTCCTTAGCTTCCTTCCTGTTCCATTTCATTTGCTTCAAGAGAGCTAAAAAGGAATTCTCTTTTTTTAAAAAAATATATTCTATTGATTTTTTACAGAGAGGAAGGGAGAGAGATAGAGAGTTAGAAACATCGATGAGAGAGAAACATCGACCAGCCGCCTCCTGCACATCTCCCACTGGGGATGTGCCCGCAACCCAGGCACATGCCCCCGACTGGAATCGAACCCGGGACCCCCCAGTCCGCAGGCCGACGTTCCATCCACTGAGCCAAACCGGCCTCGGCAGGAATTCTCTTCTTAACATTGCCTGATATCCGGAAACCATGGGGATGGATTATGTGCTTGGAAAGAGAAAGACACAGGGAAGAAGAGGCCAATCGAAGCAGGAGAGTGATGAAGTAACTAAAGAGAAGAGTGAGCTAACTTTTAGGATCCTAGAAAGAGGTACAAAGCTGTCAGTGTTATACGTTTCTGTTTTTACCAAAATGAATATCCAATCATTGACTGCCTTGGAATAACAAGAATTAGCCTGGTTTCTCTGTTCCCCAAAAGCCTGATGTCTGCTTTGCTCCTGCCCTTGTCCCATCTTACCTTGAAGCAGCAGGTGGAGAATGAGGCAGAAGAGGAATCCCTCCCCATGGAGCCAACCTCTTTCCATCCTCCTCTTCTTGGCTCTTCTCTGGAGACAGTGGTGATGTTGACCTTAAAAGACCAGAGGCCACACCTTGAGCCCTAGCTTTGAATAATACAGGTGTCGGGTGGCATTAGCCACCCCTCTAACAAGCACCCTTAGTACTAAAAGAATGTCATGGAGGACTACCCACCCTGTGACCTAATTGGACCTGAATCTAGTCTCCAAAATTAATCTGGGAAATCAGTTTGGAGAGGAGGAAGCAAAAATATTTGGTCACTGGAGCAGTGCCAATGACTTCCTCATACTGTGGAGTCACCTTGGCATACAATGCATCCCACAGAAGAAACACAATGACCGCCACTGTCTTCAAGTGACACATGCACTTACTTTAACCCTCTTCCCATCTTAAAAAAAAAAAGAGGGTCTCCTTGTTTTTATAACCAACTTTAGACTCTAAGGTTTTAAATATGACTCCAGTACTGACAGGTCTTAACTTTTGATTTTTTTGAGTGTATCAAAAACAATGTGGACCCAGGTCAACTGGATGGAGGGAGTGATCAGTGGGGTAGAGGGGAGGTGGCAGAAGTAATATTGTTTTTAGTAGAAGTTGACTTATGAGGTTATGAACGATCAGCCTGCAAGTTTATGTTGTTTTGGGCAGTGCCAAAGTTTTAATGAAATTAGTT